AGCAGGAAGAGTGCATGATCCTTGCTTTTCCTACTAAAAAGTGTGAGGCAGCAGAAGTCCACAGAATCCATCAAACACTGGCCTCGAATAAAGCAACTTTCCCATTCTGTTTATTTGGCTTTTTGGTAAAAGAGCCTTGGAGTGTACGAGCATAGTGTATAATTATAGATTTAATTAATATGAGGTGTATCAGAGTAGTTTTAAAACTTGAGGGTTAGCAGCTCTGTCCTTAGCCACTGCCTTAATGCACCTAGGCAGCTCACTTCTTCATTATACAAGTGTGTTGCTGTATAATGTTTACTATAATTTAATATAACACTGAAGCATTTGGTGCTCAGGATAAATAATTCCAATCTAAAATTATTTTAAAGGCATGGGATCTTTGAAAGCTTATTTCCATATACTGATATTTTATGACAGTGTGAGAAAACAAGGCATTTTTATTTAAAAGTATAAAATAAGAACGTCTTCTCAAAGTCTTTCAGTTGTTACATGGATATGTTTACATCTACCCTTAAAGTATATTGCCACACTCTATACAGCAATTGAGTCGGTACCAGAAAACAAAGTGTGTTTCTTTATACAAGCAAATACACCTTGTACTCAGAATAGTAACTCTTTCAGGAAATAACTTTCAAATTATGTCAGTTTTGTGAGCCGATCTTAAGCTTTTTTCCTGTCCCTTCACTTCTCTTTTCATCCTTCTAGATTTACATTTTTTATGGCACTCGGTCAAACGCTGAATTTGTGATCCACAGTGGTTTTTTCTTTGATAATAATTCACATGACAGAGTGAAAATAAAGCTTGGCGTGAGTAAAAGTGACAGGCTGTATGCTATGAAGGCAGAGGTCTTAGCTCGTGCTGGTATCCCAACGTAAGTAAAACACAATGCCGTGGGTTTTTTTTAAATATTAAAGTATGTGGTGTCCAGTAGAGCATACATAAAATTATTCTGTGATAGTTTTCTTAGGTGTAACGTTTCTCCTGTTTATATAGCAAATTAAAGTGATTATAATAATATTTACAGAAGTTCTCTGAACTGTATTATAATCTAATTTGGACCATATATAAGGAAAAAAAGCCTTTGCTTTAATAACCATTTGAACCAAAACAGAGCAAGGATTAATTTCAAGCAATCTGTGGTTTTTCTCTCTTTCCTATCCCTTGCAGACATACTACGGTGCTCAGTATGTGAACCACAGCATTTTCCTTTAGTCTTTTCAGTCCAGAGGGTACTGTTAGGAGCAGCAGACGTGAAACATTGCATTTTCATGAATTTATTATGAAAGCCGTGTAAAAATAATTGTAAGTGTAAAATTGTAGAGATAATTGTTCTTTTCAGATGCAGGTTAGGGAAGCTTTTCTTCAGTCTGAACTAGCGTTACCTCTTTTTTTTGGGAAGTTACTTTTGTAACAGTGCATTTGTGCACTTTAAGGTCTTTTTATGTTGAAGTAAGTTCAAAGGTGTGACAGAAGAAGTTGCATTTACTGTTGTTTGAATGTTTCTTTTATTAGTTCCAGTGTTTTTGCCTTGCACTCCACTGAGCCTCCAATCTCTGCCCAGCTTTTGGCTTTCCTTCGAGTGTTTTGTATGAGCGAAGGTAAGATGTTTTATGAAGATAACGTGATTTATGGGGGTTTGGGGGGTGGTTTTTTTCTTTGTTTTGTTTTTTTAATACAGGAATGTGATTGACATTTATAGAAAACATTAAGCTTAAGATTGGAAGAGTTGAATTGAGGTTAAAAAGGGATCTATAAGCCAGTGAGAAGCCAAATTGTTGGCCGTGTTGCCCGAGGAAATATTTTGGTAACAGAGGCCTTTCTGCAACTCCTACAGCATCAGGTGGTGCGAGGTTGTATTTTTTTAAAATCTCTCAGGCTTCTGTGAATGAGTGAGCTTTGAAGCTTGATCTTTAGTTCTTTGGTTTAAAAATGGTTCTCAGAACAAGATCACTTAAGACCTCGGGGTTTACATGCTTAAAATCATAGTGTATTAGCCACCGCTGCTAGAATAATTCAGGTGTAGAATTGGAATATCCTACACTGTCAGAGAAATATGGAAGAGACCTTTCAAAGTTGAGTATTTTCAGTATTTAGAACAGAGCAGTTCAGTTGGGAGGGACCTACAGGACTAATCTAGTCCAACTGCCTGACTGCTTCGGGGAAATAAATTCAAGTAAAGAAAATTTTAGGATGCTGATGAGGGGGTGAATTTTGGCTCAGAGAAGAAAGCAAAGCTAGTGGACATCTTAAATGCATTTCTGTGCTGTATGATTGCTCTCAGCTTATTTGTGTGTCTTAAAAACTGTGTAAGAAAACTATTTCTTGAGAAACTACATGCACGTGGTTTGGAAGTTTCTGATAGCTGCTTTGCAGGAGTGAGATTTGGTAATTAAAAGATTAATGGAATTTGTGTAATGTCAAGGAGCTGATTAAACATTTTCTACTCTGTGTGAGGTTTGTTTGATGGATGCCTTTTCTGACCAAAATAATAGGGAAAATAATTCCATTGCAATTTGCACTCTCTGGCCCTTTCCTTTTATTATTAGAAAGTTTGAACTCTTTAAAGAATTGCTCCCTTTTGTTTTGTTTATCAGTATTATACAGAACATTCTGTCTCACTGTCACAGGGTTACGCTGTGTATGGGAGGCTATGGTTTATAAAGTCTCTTTATTTCGGAGTGGAGCAGAAGGTCCGTTTTCTGCAAACCTCAAGACTTCCAGTTGCCTCTTTGGGAAGAACCCTAGATATCACCAGCACAATTGTTCAATCTTATTTGGGGAGAGGGGTTTTTTGTTAGCTGCTCCACGTTGTACTATTGAAAAGAAATCCTTCTGCAGTTTGTCAACCGACAAAGTGGATGATGAGATTGGTTTGAACAGATTGGTTTTATATTTCTTGCAGAAGAACTGAAGGAACACTTGATAGGCGAGCGTGCCATTGACAAAATCTTCACTCTGGGGAACTCGGAGTTCCCCATTAGCTGGGACAATGAAGTGAAACTTTGGACATTCCTAGAAGCCAGAGCATCCCTTCTTTTGAAAACCTATAAAACAACTGTGGAGGTAAAATTACCATTATATGTCGTTTGCATGTCTGAAATGCTTTGTATTATGATTGTAGGAAAAGCTATTTTGTCCCCCATCTTGTCTTTACAAACTTTCATCTGAATATTAGTGCATAATTCATTCTATACTTTTTAAAGTGTAGAAGCAGATTTGCATTATCTGAGGAATATCAGATAAGACTGCAAAAAAGAAAATTTTGTTAATGTAATTTTGTTAAATGTATTTTGTCTTTGATTCTCCAAATAGAGGCTACCTGCTTTTTCTCTGCAAGTAAAATAGGGAATCGGTTTCAACTTGCTGTCTATTAGTTGCATTCTCCAGACTGCAGGGAAACGTGCTGCTATTGCGAGTGTATGAGTAAACCTACACATTTCATATGTTTGTGAAGTCTCCTGATGTCCCTTGCTGTGCAGGCTGTTCTGCATGGAGAAATTTTTGGCTTCTTTCTGAAGTCTTGACAAATTTCACGGGGACTCCATGCAGACCCCCTCATTTCATACACGTCCATTTGGATCAGCTCAAAGAAACTGGTGTGGCTTAATGCATAGAGAGAAAAGCTGTGGGATATTCTCCTTGTGTTGGTTGTTACTAACAAAGTCGCTTTTTCTTTCCTAACAGGATGATAAGTCCTTCTTGGAGACCCACGACCTTACTTCACACGCGATCATGGCCATCAAGTTACGCTTAGGGGAAAAGGAGATCTTGGAGAAAGCGGTGAAGAGCGCGGCTGCTAGCAGAGAGTATTACACCAAGCAGATGGCAGATGGAGCTCCACTGCCCAAATATGAAGAGAGCAACATTGCCTTGCTGGAGAACACTGTGGCAGACTCAAGGCTCCCTATTGTCTTGAGAAACCTAGAAGATGTGGAAGAGCGAGGGGACTTAAAGATCGATGAAGCTATTGATGCCGAAGTCACGGAGAATGGGTTTGTAAACGGTGAAAACTCTCTATTTAATGGGACCAAAGCGGGAAGCGAAAATCTAAATAAAGAGAAAAGCAACAGAGAGACTGAAGATGCCAAAGAATCTTCTTCAGAAAGTACTGATGAGGTTAAAGAATAGTCCTAAAGTTTTTCTTTCTTGTGAAATTAAATTAGCTGAAGTTTATGAACAGTGCATTTATGTTGGTGTGTTTCTTTGTAACATTTCTCTTTCCGCAGAGAAAAAATGTTTTTGCTGCTTTATATAAAAATGAATTTTTAAGTTATTTAAGAGATTTAGCATCCCTTTTCAATTAAGATTGCCATCTTGCTTTCAGGCAAAAACTGGGGAAAGAGGTGCCTTTGGAAGATTTTGCAGCCCTTTGTTGAACCAAACGTATTTTCTTCCTGGGGAAGAATTAAGCTCTTCTATCTGCTGTGCTTTTGTTGTTCTGTCACTCTGACTACCGAAATTAAAAGCTTGCTCTGCCTCCTGCCAAGAAAAGCAGAAGGCAGGACTGAGTTGGTATTCAGCATGAAGGTGGGAGAGCTGTACAGCAGAGAACTGGATAAGAGGATCAGAAACTTGGGAGACTGGAGGAAAACCTGTTTAAAATCAGGTATGCCAGTCCAGGAAAAGGTAAGGTGGCAACCTTATGATTGGTAGTTTTAAATGTTGATGAGAATCCAAATTGTATACACTTAAAGCGATCTCTGAAGATTTCAGTTTACTTTGTCTTTTGTTTACTGTATAAAAAGATCTCATCTTTCTTCTTCAGTCAGAGCTCGGCTGCTCCAGTACAACACTCACCACCTTTTCAAGGCTGACTTCTTCTCATTTCCAGGCGGTACCTTTTCTTCACGAGGCTGGCGGTGCTGCCGCAGGGTCTGAAAGCAGATAGGCCACGCCACAGCTTTAGACTGCACTGTTCAGAGAGTGGTCGCTTCCCAGCTCCTTCAGGTTCTCACAACCAGCTAGAGATTTTCAAAGCTACACTTTTGACTAAACGATTATTAAAAGGAAAAATATGATTAATATTCCTGTCTGCTACTCCTTCATTTCTGTGTTGTTGGACGGAACGTTGAATGTGACACGGTTACCTGCCCTTGCTCAACTTTATCTTTTGATTAAGATATTAATTGATGCTGTTTTCTTGAAGGCAGTTGCCATTCAGATTGTATCTCCACCTGATGCACATTTCTGGGGATACCTCCACAAGTGAAGCAGCAATTTTGGGCACCCTCCTACTACCTGCTTTAACTCTGAGGTGGAAACAATGCAATCGTAGCACAGTGCAATATCAGACCAAGGGTAATTCCAAGGCTTGGCTTTGAAATTACCTGGGTTTGGGGAGAAGAAGAGGGTGGAATATTTTTATTTTTGCAGGTGAATGGAGTATGAACTGATTTAATTCTGTTCTCAACATTAAAGACTTTGTCTTTTACCTTTATTTCCTTAAGTTCAAGATAATGGATAGAGTGAACAAGCTTGGAGAAGTGTTTAAAGCTCAGTAGGTGTCACAGCCTGCTCATCCAAGGTCAGTTGCAGTGAAATGTCTTTTTGGCATTTTCCTAGTTTTCTTAGAGTTTTGCTTTGTTTATGCTGCAACTGGAAAAATGTGGTTTTACCTAAATCTCTGGTGCAATACGCTTAAGTAGCGACTTTCGGGTTTTCAGAGCAGTTTTGGTGTTGGGCTAGTATCAGTGTGGGGAGAAATAGGAAAAAAAATAGTTTTTTAAGAAATATTTCACTAAGAATGGCACATCACCATTGCACCTTGGGTATTGCTTCACCACTAACAAGATGCTGGACCAGTATTTTTGTAACTCTATGCTGCCTTTGGTAGAATGTGATGAATCTGTTGTCTTGACAAGTTTCAATGTCGTCCAAAAGTCATTACATTTTGGGGTTTATTAGGACCAATATATTCCATTTCTGTTTCTCCTAGTTACATTGCACATTGTACTAGATACTATGATGCAATTCTGCAACCAGCCTTCCCGGAAAAACTATAGCTGTAATTCGGAATAGCAATGCTTTGATTCGATCTGACACACTGTATTTTGTTCCAGTATTTGCTGATATCTATGGCTTAGCGAAGCCTGTGGTCACCACAGGGCAGAATGTGTGGGTTTTCTCAAATAAAATACAGTTCTACCACGTCTTCCCTAGTGAGTGTATTATAAAAAAAACCCTTTACCTGCTCCCGACTGCTGGAACTTTTGGGGTCTGTGGGGAGAGGAGTAACTGCCCAGGTGGACAGAGGAGGATTAAAGGAGAAATAGCTGGAAAAAAGAGAGGGATTGTAGTAAACAGAAAGGGATTAAGTGCACGGTCAAATTCTCACTCATATGGTAGTGTTATTTAGAAAAATATGTTGCGCACAATAAAAATAGTGAGTAATCTAATTTTGTAATTTGCATTTTTCCTCTGTGCCTGGAACGGTTTCTCAGAAGCACTAACCTAAACCTTCAGCTTTTTGCAAACTGAGGTGGAAACAAAAAAAATTGGCACTGATGAGCCCTTATTACCATCTGTCATGAAAACAGACCTCTCAAAGCAGTTTAAAGTTAACTTTCTTCGTAGTGTTTGGTTAAGAGGCTGTTCACACTAATCCCAGGCTAAATGCCAAATTTTGCTTCTGTTTAGCTCGCTCTCTGATGGATTCCTGTAAGAAAAGACATCGCTTGGATTTCTCGGACTGTTCTCCAAAAACAAAACGGGGAAAAAAAACCCAACCTTTTTAAATTTTACATGAATATGTGAAGATTATTAGGGCTGAATCCTTTCCCTACCAACCTGTAACTGCTTTGGCTCTGTGCTGTGAGGCGAAGTCTGTGTAGCCCCGTCGATAAAATCAAATATACAAATAACTCTGGAAAAATGCTTCTAATATATCTATATATTTATATATAGAAATGCAGCCTTAGCTTAAGTGGTGTTACGAGTATGCAAGAGCTGAGAGCCTTCTGACTGAGGAGGTAAGAGGTTGTAGGACTTCGGCTAAAATAAGTTGTGTTTTAGCATCTGGGCTAAGATAAGTATTCTTTTGTGGGATGTACAGAAAACCTGTGTGAGGTTTATTTGCCTTTAGAGAGGAAGGATCATCGTGGGGTCATGAAAGTCGCGTGTTTCAAACTGGAAGGTTTTCATGACACGTTCTTCTCTAGTTCCCATGTTTAGAAACAGTATTTAACACCATATTAAATATAAATACTGCTTAGAAACAGTATTTAATATAATATTTAGTGTTAAATTTAATATGCTGCCTCTTCTATCACTTTTTTTTAATAGAACGACATGTGAAGCAGTTATGAAAAGTAATTTTTAGTGTTTCAGTCTGAAACACCAAAGACGCTCCCAAAATCCACTGCTTTTTTTCCGGTTTTACAGACTGAAAGTCAGTCCTTGTTACTTCCTGTGCTCTGTGCCAAACAGGAGCCTTCAGACAAAACATTGCTCTAAAAAATGTATCTGATGAGGAGTCCTTTAGAAGATTTTTAACCGATCCTTGTTGAAATCGGATATAATCACACCATTTTCACATAGTTGCCGTCTATATTTAATAGTTTCTAACATGTGTCCTCCTTCGAGTGCATCGCTTCCATACTTAGGGGAAAAAGCCACAAATGGTCCTGGATTTCTGGGGGTTTTCAGTCTCCATAGGTTCACTGGTTGTTCCGCATATTTCAAAATTGGCTGAATGACTGCTATAGATTTAGTGTAAATGGTGTCAACTTGAGCTTTAGAAATAGAGAAAATCTGAGAACTTCTTTAGTGAAAAACACGAAATTTTGTCAAGTGCTGAAGTCCGTCTTCTACTGCACCACGCATAAACCAGAACACCCATCTTTTTTCCCTTTTTTGTAGCTTTTTGCTGAATATGGAGTGCTCTGGTACTTACACTCCTGGATTTTCAGTAACAGGCTTTGAAATGTGCTTGAATAAGCTGTTTTGTACAGCAGTGTACATGGGGTTGTGTGTGATACTCTTGTACTTCTGAAAAAATGTGATTTTTGCCTTGGACACTGTCTTAGTCATTAAAAATTACCTTTGTTTTCAGTGTCCATAGACACCAACCTTCACTTACAAATTAAATATTTACTAGTTAAATCTATGAATCTTCCTGTTGACTGTGATCTGAACTCCTTTTATTTCCATTTTTCTCATTTTTATTAGATGGTTGTGTAAGTCCATGCAGAATTTTTATTTTTCACTTCCCAATTTGGAGAAACCAGATATTTTCCAATGAAATCCAGTTCGGATGTGACAAAAAAGGTGATGCTGACCACTGCGACTTGTCCTTTTGAGTGTCTTAACATGAACTGGACTGAATTGGGTTTGCAGCCCAAGGTTCCTAATTTCAGCACTAATAAGTGGGGTTGAGTGCAGGTTTGTGGTGCAAAATATGAAATATTAAAACTGAAGCAGGCGAGCACCAACAGCCTCCTTTGGGCTGCAAGGGAATTCTAAAAATTAACTTGGATATCCGTAAGAAAGCCCCGCTGCCTTGCAGCAATTAATTCAAGTGATTGGATGCTAGGGATGGTTTATTCTAATTGCACCCAGGTAGTAATTTATTAGGGCGGCTGTTTCTGTTGGCATATGTCAAGAAGGTCAGAGTTGAGACTTTTTTGGACATTAACCTAGCCTTCTGAAACACTGAAGTTCCACTTTTTGGTCATTAATTCCATACATGCTGAGATTGTGACAATTAACCTACTTAATAAAGGTCAAGTTTCAATTTTTTCCAATTTCTGGAACACTTAACTTTATTCCTTCTTGAAAATGGGCAGATACAGAATGATAAATAGTTATTAAATGAGAACGAAGATGTAGTTCTGCTGTCAAGATACCATTGAATGGCTCGTAACAAAAGGACCAGAACTGCTATGGATTTCAAATTAAAGAAACAGCATAAAGCAGGCTACAGGAAAATAAAATAGATTATAGATTGCAGTAAGTGGTTTAAAATAATTTCTGCTAGCATTCCT